ATGTCCTATAGTCTTTTCTCTTGATAGTTTATTCTTGAGTTAATAATATAGTTGATGCTCAATAGAGATTTGAGGACTCTAATGGTTAACTATATCCTCATACCTATTTATAGGGCTAGGCATATTTTTGCTGTATGCCAATCATCTTATCAAAGTGGTGTTGCCCTCACTCACGTACTCAGTTTGATATATACTTTTCCAAAATCAATATTTTTGTGCATATTTGTTTTTCTTGCGTTCTCCACTGACTTGCCAAGATTCCTTTTTGGGTATCAAGATACATAGCCGGAGGAGTAGGGGTTTCCTCTTGATATTTTATTCAGAAGTCTTATAGTTACTCTGTTAATCCCTTTGATCATTGGCTAGGGGAGACCATCTTTCTGTGTGTCCTACTTTTTGTTCTTGCAGTGATGATTACAAATCATATTTTACTCTATGGTGCAATTGTGAAAGCTTAACATTCACTTTAGCAAATGTCAAAAATAAAGTGAGCGTCATTTGTTTGCTATCTTGTCTCTTTCTGCTGAAACTAAATTGAATATATAAATTTCTTATCTTGTCCCTTTCTGCTGAAACTAAATTGAATATATAAACTCTATGGTTAGTCATCTCGAATGTTTAAAAATGTGATACGCAAGTGGTGATAAGGACAACAAACCATTGAAAACAGTTTTGGATGAGTCACTTCAGTGTGACAATGGATCAGAATGGTTCTTTCGATAATATATGCATATCTCTTCCACTTTTCTGACTACTTTTGAATCATTTGTTGAAATGTGTGATTACAGGTTTCGCCAACTGTGTTGACAATAACCGTAAAGTATTTTCGAGAATAAACGCAATCTGCCTGATCAGTTTGGTAAGATTTCTAAACCCTTTAAGTGAATCATCTTAATGTTGACACTTTATCTTAGCTTGAGAATAAACTATTCCATGTAACTTGACATGCCTAACAGGACCGTCTCAAATAAATTTTATACCCTGTTCAAAAAAAAACTAATGATATATGTATGATTTAATAATTTTTTTTTAAAAAGTTAATAACTATGTTTGATGCTTCCTTAAAACTATAAGTTCTAATTTAGCAATATATCTAATTTTGTTTTAAAAATATCATAATTTTATCTATATATTTTTCAAAAATTCTTAATTTTTCCTTATTTTTTCCTTATTTTTTTATTTTTATATTTGGGGCCCTGTTCGACCGCTCCACTTACACATGCTATTAGACGGCCCTGAATTGCCTAATTCCAAATAGTAGAAGAAATATGATTAAACATAAAAATATATGGACACTTCCTCTCTGGCTACTTCAAATGGCTGACGTTGTTATCGCATTTACCTGGCTTTTTTGGGAGGAACTTGATAGTATATGCTTATCGTATGATGCCATTTTTAGGTGCCATGGATCCAAGTTAGTAGTTCAAGATCGGGAAGACAGCTTAAGAAAGAGAGAGATAGAAAGCTATGAAACCAGTGTTGTGGAGAAGGTTTTGTCTTATTGTTTTCGCAGATTCATTTGTATAAATTTTCTGAAAAAAATGTTGTAAGAAAATATTGTATTGACTAATTAAACCGTCTATATTATTAAAAAAGAAATACTAATATAAACTTACCCTTTAATTAATATATGTTTACATTTCAATGCCACTAAAGTAATAACTACTCTTATTTTATGACTTTCTTGTCTTTATAAAATTAAATATACAACAAATTCAGTTTATTCTATAATTAATATCTACCATCCATTAAAATTTTGATAAGTTAAACGTAAATTATTAATACGAAATATTTCAACCATTACAACTTTATTAAAATAGGCATCCATTGATGAAGTACAAACCAATTTCTAATTTTAGTTCTTTTATATTTGATGATTCTAAACTATTTTTTCTAACAGAACATTTGATTTCAAAATTTACCTACATAACATTTCTTAATCATCCTTTTTTTTTATCAGCACAAACAAAACTGTTTATCAAATTTATTATTATTAGTAAGTTAGAAACATTTTGGTTACCCTAATCATAACTAACAATTCTATTTAAGAAACACACACCTCTGCATAATCTTTGAAATCATAACAACGATTCTCATTGTTAACAAAATTTTATTATTTATTTAAAATTATAAAAAACAATAGAATCAATTTCGTTCACAAAAAAATATTTGCAATATTCCATATAGTAAAATTGGAAATAATCATTTGTCACTTAAATCATAATCTTTCCATATATTGGTGACTAAACTAATTTCTACAATCTAGCTAAACAATAAATTATATTATGTAAATGAAATCATGTACGTTTGAATAAGAATCACTTCATATAATCTAGCCTAGGGGTAGATATTCGGATACATGTTCGGATCGGTTCAGATCTAATCGTTTTTTTTCAGAGTTAAAGATTTCATTCTCATTTAGGTATTTATAAATTTTAGCCTGAGTTTGGTGGATAACCCGTTTAAATTATTTTAGAATTTTAAAATTCATTTACACTTCAGATTTCTAAAAACTAAAAATAAAATACTATATAACATATAAATTTGAATAATATATGTCAGAATACTTAAACTTAACATCAAATTGGTTTGAATTGAATATTTAGATGGATAAGCAATAAATATTTCAATTATTTGTTTTAGTATTTATTAGTTAGCTATTTTAAATTTCTACTTTTTGAGTTTTATATTTTTATTTAGTTGTGTATTTATTGGATGTACTCAAATAGACTTATATAAAGCCCAACATGCATTTTATATAATTAATTTAGAGTGCAGATTGGTGTGTTATTAATTAATAAACATGATAAATGATATAATTTTAAACGTAAAACAATAATAAATATACATAAACATAAAATAACCTGTAAAAGCCACATGAACAAATTTAGGTAACTGTGTACTAAATTTAGAACACAATATCATTTTAAACTTATATAGTTATATTTTTCATTTTTATTAGTAAAACTAAAAAGTAAAAACCACAAAAAATAATCATTTATATAATATATAAAAATATAAATTATTCCGTTAATATATTATTGGCATAGTTTCGTATAAATAAAATTCTACTGAAATTGAATACAATAAACTTCTATGATAAAAATATGAATGATACAATTGACTACTACGAAATAAAATATAACTATACTCAATGTAGTAAATAGATACTATGTTTAGAATTATTATATTAAACAATTATATGATATGTATAAATTATAAGTTTAAATTATATAATTTATACAAAATAAAAATTTATTTTTAAAAGGAAAAATTTATACCGTCAAGATCTACATAGTATGTGATTAATTACGACCACCCACCGATACACCTAGGGCTGGGTACAAGGCAAGTACTTGCTATTTTGCATGTACTTGCGACTTGACTTGCCTTGCACAAATAATAGAATTTTCGACTTGTACTTGACTTGTTAAAAATGAGTACTTGCTATTTCGAGTACTTGATCAAAAATAAATGATTTGCAAGTAACTTTTCTTGCTCTATTACTTATTATTTACGAGTATTTGTGAACTATTTACGAGTTTTTCCAAAATATTCAAAAACTATTTACTAAATAATTCTCTGTTAGAAATAGTCATGAAAGTTTATTTTGTTTATTCTACTTAAAGTAGCATGTAAATTACTTTAGACGAAATATTTGTTTATATTATAAAGAAGAAAAATAAAAATATATGCATATTACAATATATAAACAATGTATAATTTTCACGATAACAAAAATATCTTCTCTAAATAAGTAATAGGTAATAACAAATTATATAACTAGATTTTTAATATTTGTTGCTATGTAATACTTGACTAGATGATGACGAGTATTTAAAAATCAAGATGGATACGAAACAAGTATAAGAAAAGTAATGAGTATTTGTGTCTAATCCTAAATACAAGTAAAAGAAAAACAAATATGAACAAGTAATTAATAGATCATGTAACATATAGTAAGTAATAGAGCAAGTAACGTTGGAACAAGTAACGGGGTATAACGAGTCAAATATCAAAAATAATAATGATACTTCACTTGATACTTGACTTAGCCTTGCAAGTAATGAAAATTGTCGCCTTATTACTTGCCTTGACAACACCGAGTACTTGAATTTTTAAGACAAGTACGAGTCGAATAGCGAGTTTAATGCGAGTAACGAGTAATGATGCCCAGCCCTAGATACACCAACAATTATCTATAAACTAGCGGACCCGTTTCGTTCTCTCTATGACTAGGTTTGAGTCTCATCTTTAGGGTCTTTTAGTTTCTTGTCTTTGTTGTAGTCCTTTGCATGTTTGTTAAACGTACAACTACATCGCAGGCGTTGCATGTAAGCAATCATAATTACATAGATAATCTAAAGAACAAAAGTTAGTACTAAACCGACCGGTTTGATATATCAATTTGAACTGTAGAAATGATCTTGTCTTTACTTTGTTTCTTTGACAAAACAAAATTTTAAAGTTAACATTTGATCTCTTTTTCTTAGTTTCTGATACAAAATACATCTCACTCCATACATTCTCACGTCATACATTCTCACGTCTCTCTTTTTAACACAAAAGCAGAGATTGGTTTTTCTCACCAACTCCCACTAACACTACGCTACTAGCTTTTTTGCTTAGCAGTCTATTTTCACAAGCAACTTATACAACAAGTAACACCACTATTACACTAACTTCTTAAAGCTCACAACTCTTGGTAACGCGCATAAATACCAAACCTACCGGTTATGCGAAAACCCTATTTCCATTTTGCGATATCTTTTTCTCGAATAGAAAACTTTCCAAGTCTACACTTACCTTTTTCACAGAGATTCTCGTCAGGCATCTCCGTCTAGGTAATCTATTTCTTCTCGATCGTGTTACAACACGAAATGTATCGAGTCGTTAGAATCTGAATTTATATGATCAATTTGTATGTAATCTTGTTGTATCACTCCCCTCTTGTTATGGTGTCTCAGGTTTAAGTTCTCCTGCTAAAGAAAAAGAAGAAGATGTCTCGTTTTTTCGCTCAGGTTTCCTTCTCTCGTTTGGCTACACATGAAACTCTTTCTTTGTTAGCTTCAAATTCTCAATGAATCTCGTTGACATGCTCGTTCACAGGGTGGTGGTGACTCAAAGGATGAGGATATGGAGGAAGTGATCCAGGAGATTCAGAACACGGACATCAACAACCGTAGGTTTTTTATTTGTCTTTTTTGTTGTTTTGTTGTGTTTAAATTCATTTCTCTGTGGTTTTTTCTTCTTCTAAACAGGAACCATCAGTCATTTGCCTCTCGAAATTATGGATCATATCCTATCTTTTCTTCCTACTAAGGTCGCTGCTAGGACTCCTTCCCTGTCTAAAGGTTGGCGTGATGTGTTCTACAGAACACCTACTCTTAGGATTGAGCTGAATGACGAGACACGTGACGTGATACCGTTCATTAGATTTGTTGACAGAATTGTGGCTGTTCGTCGACGAGATCCTACTCTTCATCTGCGGAAGTTCCATCTCTTACTTCACAAGATTATTGCAGATACACATGACGAGAATCAGGCCAGACTTCTGTTCCAAGCCAGTCTCTATTAAGTTAGATGGGCTTCCAACCTAAAACCAATTGGTGATAAGTGGATTGACCCATCTATCTTATATACTAGATAGAATCCCTTCCAACTTCCGATGTGGGACACTTTGTGTCTAATACGCCCCCTCGAGATGATGGCTCTCTGGCATCAATCTCGGAATATTCGGGCAAGGATCGATGGGCCGAATTTGGGCTGGATCGATAAGGATCGGGTTGGATTGCATGGATCGTGAGCTCTGATACCATATTAAGTTAGATGGGCTTCCAACCTAAAACCAATTGGTGATAAGTGGATTGACCCATCTATCTTATATACTAGATAGAATCCCTTCCAACTTCCGATGTGGGACACTTTGTGTCTAATATCTCACACTTTTCTTCATCGAGTTGCCTTCTGATTATAGTGGGCTATCAGAAAGCATATTAGTTGCAAGCTTTCTTGTGGAATTGAAAATCAGCACTGCCGACGAACATCTTATGTGCATTGCTTCCAACGTGAAGGTTCATCTACCCAATCTCAAGATTCTTAGTGTCGATATGGTGGATTTTGGAGATGACGGAAAAGGCTTCTACAACCTTCTGAAAGGTTGTCCAGTGATTGAGGAACTGGAGATGAAAGACATATTGTGGTTTAGTTGGGCTTCTTGCTATGTGTGTAGCTCAACTCTAAAGATCCTTAATATTTACTGGATACCTATACAATTGAAGATGACCGAGATCACCGTCCAGCAAGTGTTTCATCTGTAACACCAAAACTGGTGTATCTAAACTACAACGATGACACAGCTGCAAATTATAAAGATCTTGATTTTGCTTCCCTTGTTGAAGCGAAAATTCTTCTTCATCTAAGAGGAGAGAAAGATAAAAAAGAAGATAAAATGGAAGTGGCACAAGAAGAAGATGCTTCAGACTTCCTTGACGCCATATGCAATGTTAAGAAGCTCTTCTTGCACGCAGACACACTTCGGGTATATATAAATAAAAACAGACGTTGGGTTTCTTTTAACGTTATTTTTTTCTTGTTTTGAGTCAAGTAATGATTCTCTTTTATAGATCTAACTAGGTGTTTTGCCCGCATTTGCGGACCTAAACATTTTATAATTATTTTATTAATACATTTTTTACTAACTGAAAGATTATAATGATAAAATATTAATTGTGTTTTATTTTTTGAAACCAATAATATTTATACTTTCATTTAACAATTCTTACATATATTTCTTTGCAATTTATGTTCATTCTTAAAAATAATTTTAAATTCAAATAATATTTTTCAGTTATATAAAATTAAGAAGTTGACTTGATTAGGTGTTTTATCCGCATTTACGAACCTAAACATTTTATAATTATTTTATTAATACGTCTTTTACTAACTGAAAGATTATAATGATAAAATATTAATTGTGTTTTATTTTTGAAACCAATAATATTTATACTTTCATTTAACAATTCTTACATATATTTCTTTGCAATTTATGTTCATTCTTTAAAATAATTTTAAAATCAAATAATATTTTTCAGTTATATAAAATTAAGAAGTTGACTTGATTTATATTTAGTCATGTAATTTCTATTGTTTTAAAATATATATTTTCAGATAACATCAGAATATATATCGAAATTATCTTATTTAAAAAGATATTATTTAGATTTTGGATAATTCTTATGATTATTATTAATTTTAGTTACTTATCTAATTAAAATTATTTAAATTCGTTTTTATTTTGTATGTAATTTATATATTATTTTCATTAAGGGTATAAATGATATTAACCACTCTAACTTTTAACGTGGGAGCTCTGTTGCGAAAAATCACTTCGCAAATAATAGTATAGATTATTATTTGTTTCTGATTTGGGTTGTGTTTTAAGGTCCTCGCTCTCGCTTGCCCCACAATACCGACTTTCCCAACCTAACCGAGCTAATCATTGAAAGCCACCATGTGATGAGGATGACGATCAAGATCAGGATCATGATCAGGATCATGATCATGAAGAGGATGAGGATGAGGATGAAGATGAGGATGAGGATGAGGCTGAGGCTGAGGATCATAATGAGGATGAGGCTGAAAATCATGATGAAGATGAGGATGAGGATCAGCTTTCAGATTGGGACTCACTGCCAGTATTGCTCAACAAGTGTCCGGAGCTACAGACGTTGGTTTTCTTGGTAACAAACTCAAGTTTCCAGCTTTTAGCAAAATGGCTTATAGCTTTTAGCAAAAGAATATTAACAAAAATTTGTTTATGATTTCAGGGACTCACACATCAAGCTAAGATCACATGTGGAAACGTGTGTAGGTGTGAGGGTGGACTGGTTGCAAAAGCTTATTGCTTACAAGCATCTCCGGTGAAGGTTCTAAAGGTATATGACTTTGGCCAAGCTACTAAAGAGATAGACCGCTTTGTTGCTATGATGAATCACTTCTTGGTGAACATGGCTCAGCTTGAAAGGTTTATTGTTTACTGTGATGGAAATGATGAGACTCGCCATGACCTTTTAATAAGAATTCAAGGGAAGGCTTCTCCCAACTGCAGGAACCAAGTGCTTTACAAGAAAGCTAGCTAGATAATCTTTTGCCTAAAAGATCTAATAATGTCTATGGTTCTGGTTGTCTTTGTTCTGATGTTAGTATTTTGATGATGTTAAACTCAAAGTCTGTATTTGTTTATCTTTTGGCGATGTTGAAACTCAAAGTCTGTTGTTTTTGTGTTTTGTTTATGACTTGTTTGTGCTTTTTTTGTGCATTTGATCGAGCCTATATTGTTGCTTTTGATTTTGCATTGTCTTGAGATCAAACAAGCTATATCAGGTAGACTAGAGGTTATTGTTACTTTTTATTTTGCATTGTCTCGAGATCAAACAAGCTCTAGCAGGTAGATCAGGGGTTGTTGGTGAATGTCTTGACTACCGACAAAATTGAATTCAAGTAAGTATATTAGAATATGCAATCATATATAGGTTGCAAGAAAAAACGGAGGAATTTGAAGATGAGGCGAGAGATGTTGAGGTTGTTTCCTCTCACTTCTCTGGTCAATTTGCTCAACATCTACAATAGCTATCTTTTCCGTTTTTTTTTGTTTTTGATCATATCTATGTGTAGATAAGGTGATGTGATACCAATTCATTTAGAACCACTATATTGTTATGTTGAAAGCTGTGGTGTAGCCAATTGGTCAATGTTTGTTTTGTATCAAATTCTTCTCGTGGTTAAGGAAAATCTTCAAGACCTGAACGAATTATTTATGTTAAAATTAAATTCTTCTCTCTCTCTTTTTCTGTTGATGTAATTTATTTCTTTCCTTGCCACTCACGTCATCGAAACAAGCTGTTAGCCATTTCGTCAAAGTTTTGTTTTCCTTAAAGCTTATATGGTTGAATATTAAACAGGAAACACACAAACCAACTTGTAGCTGATTCGTCCAAGTAAGCATCAAACGCAAAATTCTTCTCTACTAGCCAAAATTGAATATTTTTTCTTATATTAGTTAAGTAGCATCTCTGATCAATTCGGATAAAAGGCTAAATGAACTGTTAAATAATTGTTTGCCGAGTAAGTAGTTTATACTTATGCCAGCGAAAATATTTTCACTAATCATATACTATATCCCAAGCGGGCCTTAACTAATTAATCAGATTAAGAGATAAAGGATAAGGACTGGAACCTTGCGGCTTGGGACGGCGATTAATAAGTGGTAAGCAGAAACGTTACAATGGACTTGCTCACGATTGCTTGGCTAACAAACGTTTCTCTAACCAAAATTATGAGACTTGCTCACGATTGCTTCAAAAAGAAGAAAAAATGCTTAAGATGAACGTGCAAGCAACAAAAATAATAAGAGAAAGTAATGGATCACGTGATTAATAACATGTAACTAAATTTGAAACGTTCAAATGTAATATTCATTACATTTTAACCATATTAATCTACAAAGTTGTGACGTCTTGTAAAATAAAAAAATTGAATAATATCACCATTGTACCGTACAAGAATTAGATTTGATCATCCATGTCTAACTCGTAACTGAATTACAAAAAAAAAAAAAAAACTCCAAGGTCATGCATAGAGATGCATTCGCGGTTAATTGCTCATGAGCTTTCAAGACCATCGGTACCATAATTAATTATTGAACACTATTTACAAATTTTTTATTTTTATTATTTTGCGGCATGTTTATTAGGGATTCTTAGGATGAAGTTTTTAACTCATAATTTGACACTTATTGTTTTTGCTTTTTTTTTTTTTTACATTTTTTGGCTAAAACCTAGCTGCCAAAAAATGTTTTAAAAATGGTTCTTAGTTTTTCTTAGTTAAAGTTAAGAGACGATCCTTATATTACGCTAAGAATCCCTATATACTAAAAACCCTGCAATAAACATGGTTTTAAGGCAACATTATTGGTAGGATTAATTTTGAAGTTCTTAACTTATTTTATTATTATTTTTAAGTTAAGATACAAAGGTAAGAAACAATCTCAAAAGTGTAGATTATTGCTAGGATTTTTTTGTTGTCTATTAGTAAATTAATAATTTTTTTAATAAGTAATGACCTATAAAAGATAAGTTTAAAATAAAATATATAACATTAAAATTAAAAACATAAAAAATTACAAAGTTGCAAAAAAAACAAGAACATAAAAAAAGTTACAAACATCATAAATAAAAGCAAACACACATTTTATTGAATTTATAGAAACTTAAACATTATATGTTATTTGGAAGATTTTATGAAGTATGAGACATGCTTTCATAATATATTTTTTTTTTTATCCCATAAATTAGATGGATTCCTAACAATGGCGAATCCCATAACGAGACATTGATCCTATAACTCTCACCAATGCAACAAGACACGACAAGTAAGATCATATCACAGTTATCAAACAAACTTCTCACTATTCAGATTTGGTTGAGAACAAATTAACTCCTATCACAATTATCAATTTCATTTCGGCGAATAGGTTACATAATTAATGCATTCTTTTCTATGTCCATGTAATCAATTTCATTTCAGCGAGAACACACACATAAGTCATGCTATGAGTTTCAGATCAAATCGAATGAGTGAATGATCAGATACTCATCAATATCTTTCTAATATGAGTGAATGATAAGAATTTCAAATACATGAGTTTCAAATCGAATGAGTGAATGATCATATACTCATCAGGTTAATGCTATAAGAACACACAAACATCAATGTCTTTATCACTGAGAACTCATCAAGTTATAATCACCAAAAAATCAGCAATCCTTTAAAATCACCATCGAATACGAGTTAAAATCACCAAGTTACAAAACAAAACCAGAGTTAAACACATCAAGAAAAGTACTCTCAGACATGGCATTGTCACTGAAAAACCCTAATTTTCAATTTTATTTACTCAAACACCAAGCATTCAATCACAAACACCAAGCATACAATCAAATCGTCACCCTACATAAAGACAACATTGCCATGCGTTGGTTGTTTTCCTTGGTTTTTCTCAAGAGTTCTACAATTATAAATTTAGATGTTTCTGGTCCGATTCACTTCATGTTTTGGTGAGAAAAATGTTCACCGTCTTCTCATATAAATGCAAAGTATGTTCTAACATATTGTTCATTGTATGAAGTTGTGATCCAGAAAGCTCAATACTTCAATGTATGTTTGTGCAATTACAAAGGCTGGACTCTAATTATATCTATACATTATTATAAAATAAAATTCAATTTTTTCTGATCACACCTATTAAAAGTTTGGTCCAAATATACAACTTCAATAGTATAGATACAACTCCAATAGTATAGATTAATAGAATTCTGAGTTTATTATCATAATCAATCAACACAATTGTAAAAAGATTATATAATCTTCATTACAAAATTATAGTTGTTTAACTAATTTATTATAAAAAAATATAAAAATTGATTATTAATATATAAATTTATAATAAAACACTTGATATACATTTTATATTCACACTTGATTTAAAAATAAAAAATAAATTTGACAAAGGAAACAAATCCACCCTTTTAAAGCAGAACTTTAAAATCTAGAATTATATTATTTTGTTCTACATATAAAGTGAATAACATGAAAACAATAGAATCTAATAACTGGAGATACGTAGATCCACCCAACTGTCAAATTTATTTTGAACAACCTATAATTCACTTGGATGGAGTGCTCTATTGCTTCGGCTAGGGTAGAAGATGCCTCTTTACTTCCAACCATGCATCTGTAATCTATTAGCTTTTGATCTTCACACAGAGACGTTCCATAGTTTTTCGGTTACTCCGGATTTGGGATCTAGAAGCTGCTGTGATTTAAGCATGTGTATTCTTAATCATCGTCCATGCGTCTTCAAGAAACGTCTTGTTCATAATGACCAAAATATGGGGTCTTGACATAAGCAAGAGTTCTTGGGAAGTTATGTATTCCATAGAATGTTCGTGTTTTCCGCCAGAGTTTTACGAGTGGGACATCATTCCGGTGGCAACAACCAACAATTACGTTATCCTTTCATACTATTATTATAACATATGGGTACTCTTATGGTTCCAAAACCCATATTTTGCATTACAATTTTTCTGCTGGTGAAGACATTATATGTCTTTTTATGAGACACTAGTCTCTGTTTACCAATAAGTTTGACTGTATTTTTATGCTTTAATAAATAGACAAGTATGTGGAGAGAGTATTGTCATAGATGTACTTGGGAAATAGCGTCATCTATCATATATATATTTTCCGTGTTCATGTTTCCTGTTAAGTATCTTGTGGACCTATACACACCATTTGTGTTAACTTTCTTGTAGCATTTAGCAGTTTCGCCTTAGTCGTTGGCAACATAATGTTTGCTGTCCGAACTGCAGATGAAAAACATTGTTAAAATCATAAACATAATAGTACTAGTTCCAATAAATTCAGATTTGTAGGCAAAATAACCTACCTAAACAAACATATACACTTCACACAGACTTATTAAAATTCAATCAAAACAGAATTATATGCTAACATAATTTATGTTAAACCGTTCTAAAAAAAAATTATAATTAGATGTGACATTATTTTTATGGTTAACAGTCACTTGTATAGTGTGATGAACTCTTGAATGGAGAATAACGCAGCCACGCTTTGAAATAAAAATCTTATCTTTTTTTTTTGGGCTCAGTTTTGGTCAACTCCTACACTTCCCATGGCGACGATAGCTAGTATGCTGGTGGCTCCAACCCGAAACCCATTCTCCTGCTTCCGTGAACCATTGTTTCCGGGAAGCCGCTCCGTTGTATCCAACCGTTACCTAGAGACATGCGTCAGACGAACACACACTATTCCCAGATTCATTAGAGCGTGTCAAGGTTCAGACAAGGTTCTCCATCATTGCCCACATTGAAAAGATCTAAACTTTGTGGAAAAGAACTTGTTTTGTTTTGACCTTTTTGTTTTGTTTTATAGGTAGGTGGTGATGGAGGAGGGGTTTCAGCATCAGCTAAAAGATACCATTTTGGGAAAGAGTTACTGAGTTTTGCTTCAGATAATTTCTTGCCTCTAGGTAATGAATGCACTCTGCTTAAGCATTCTTTAGAAGATTTGATGTATTTTTTTTTTTTGCCTTACTTTGTTGGTTAATTGTTTACAGCTCTTGTTACTGGTGTGAGCTTGGGATTTGCAAACCCAACTCTTGGATGTCTTGCTGACAAATACTCTCTTTCAAAGTTCAGCACTTGTGGGATCTTTATTATATCAGGTGACTCTCTCATTGTGTTATGTACAGTTTCTTCTGTTGATATAGCTGATAAATCCACTGTGTTTTCTTTGTCTGTATTGTGGAACAGGGTTGACTTTACGAACTGAAGCGATTGGTGCTGCTGTGAAAGGATGGCCTCTTGGAATCTTCGGGCTGGTATGATTTTGATTCCTGTTTAGCTTTCATACGTTCTCTGAATGGTTTTTCTTTTCTCTTGTTTAGATCTTCCTATGCTATATTCTGCTTTTTATGAAACTAATGAGACAATGTAATGTTTAGAAACCCCTTATTTCCCCCAATGCCTCAATATACTTTTCTTTCAGTTGCACAGTGTTTGATATTTTGGTAGTGATTTTCCTTTTTAGTTTATGTAGCTACTATATGCTGCATAATTAAGCCCAAACCATTTTTCTCTTCTTTTTCTTGTCAGGCCTCTATTTTGTTGCTCACTCCATCCTTCTCAAGGCTAGTTATGCTAGTCCAACTCCAACCTCAGGAACTTGTTACAGGTTACTGTCTCTCTCTCTCTTCAACTTAGAATGAAGTAAAACTCTGTTGATTCTATACTGCTTTATATATTGGCTTGCCTTGGTTCAGCATAAGTAAATCTACAGTGTAAGTTAAAGTATATCTTGTTTGATAACTAGCCACCAGTTTTACATGTATAAATAGTTTTAGTTACTGAGAAATATAGGCGTGATACTGATTGACCAAAGAGCTAATATCATTTCCTTTGTGATTTTGTACCCAACAGTTCCACGTTGATGTCTTGTTTATTGGTTCCTTGCATGTATTTATTTATAAGAGTAATGGGCAGGAAAAGCATACTAGTTGCATAATATAAAAGAAACTTGATTAGTTAGTCTTTTCTCTTGATAGTTTATTCTTCAGTTTATCTAATGCTCAATACAGATATGAGGACACTAAAGCTTAACTATGTCCTCATACCTATTTACAGGGCTAGGTATATTTTGCTGTATGCCAACCACCTTATCAAGTGGTGTTGCCCTCACTCACGTACTCAGTCTGATATATATATTTTCCAAAATCAATATTTTGTACATAATTGTCTTGCAATTGACTTAACCACATTTCCAATTCAGCTTGCTGGGGGAAACTCTGCTCTTGCTCTGGCGGTGACTGTGGCATCCAACTTGTTAGGCATTTTAACTGTAAGTACATATTATTTGATCATTGCTGAATCAAGGATACTTCTAGTTAGATTGCTTCCATGGTCTCTTTAAGAATTGCTAAGCCATTGTAGCAAAATTGTCTTTGAATTTAAGAACGAAAGTTATGATTCCAGTCACTGATGCTACTATGATTGACATGACCTATTTTATCAGATTCCATTTTGGGTATCAAGATATATAGCCGGAGGAGTAGGGGTTTCGTTTCCCACTGACCAACTATTCAAAAGTCTTATAGTTACTCTCTTAATCCCTTTGATCATTGGCAAGGTAAGACCATCTTTCTGTGTGTCCTACCTTTTGTTCTTGCAACGATGATTCCAAATCATATATTACGATGTAGGCCTTTGACATATTTGTGTGTTTATCTGTTATAGGTTATTCGGGAAACATTCAAAGGTGAGCTTCATGTGTTACCTTTTCCCTTTGTGCTGAATATATAAACTCTATGGTTAGTCATCTTGAATGTTTTTAAATGTGATGAACACAAGTGGTGATGATGACATAAACCATTGAAAACAGTTCTGGAGGAGCTACTTTTGCGTGACAATGAATCTCTTGTTGTAAATGTGTGATTACAGGTTTCGCAAACTTTGTTGACAATAACCGTAAACTGTTTTCGAGAATGAACGCAATCTGCCTCAGTTTGGTATGATTTATAAACCCTTTGTAGCAGGAATCTCTATTCGTAGGAAGTTAGAGCAATTCCATGGAATTGATGTGCCTAATGCCATTTCAAAGCTTGAATCAAATAGTAGAAATCATATGGCTATGATTAAACATAATATATGGACCACTTCCTCTCAGGCTACTTCAAATGGTCTGTATGGCTATGATTAAACATAATATATGGACCACTTCCTCTCAGGCTACTTCAAATGGTCTGACGTTGTTATTGCACTTACCTGTAAACTTGATAGTATATGCTTATCTCATGATATTACCATTCTAGGTGCCATGGATCCAAGTTAGCAGGTCAAGATCACTGCTACTATCCGTTGAGCCTAAAGTTTTTCTTTCCGCCATTGGCATTGGAATGTATGCATACTTCTTTTCACATGAATCGTTTTATTCATAACATGTAAAAGATGAGTGTTCTCTACTTGTGTGGCTGTTAAGAACATGTGGCTGGTTTGCTGTTAACAGAAGAACCTTTATGTCTTTCTACAGATTGCTGCATCTCTCTTTACTAGCATTCAATGTTCTTTCAATCCGCATCCTCACCGGTGGTAGTAATAGTAAGAACTCCAAGGGAAATGGCACAGCAGTCTTGCTCGTTGCAAGCCAGGTACTAATAAAGTTTTTTTTTGCCTTAACAATCTGATCTCTTAAATTGGAAAGTCATGGCTCGGTGTTTTTGTTTCCGTGCTTATAGAAAACATTACCGGTAATGGTGGCGGTGGTGGAGCAATTACGAGGTGCATTTGGTGAACCAGGGCTTTTGGTTCTTCCTTGCGTAGCTGCACACTTAAACCAGGTTAAAACTTTGTATTGTCTCTTCCATTATGACAACTTTTGTGTGCATACTCTTATTGTTAACATACGTTTGTGTAGATCATGATTGATTCGATTCTTGTCAATGTATGGCTTCGGAAGAGTAATGCATCTTCCACTGATATAAAGACAGCTTAAGAAAGTGAGATAGAAGCAATGAAACACAACCAGGAAACCAATGTTGTGGAGAAGGTTTGGTGTTAGTTGATCGATCATGCAAGAGTTTTCTTTCAGACTAAGTCCTTATTGTTTGCAGATTCATTTGTATAAATTTTCTGAAACGTTGTAAAAATATTATATTTTGACTAATCAAACATTTGTGATTAAAAATGTTAAATTGGCAATTCTCTTAAATAATATTTTTTAAGTTTTTGTCACAAAAATAGTCTTTATTAAATAGTTCATTTTATTTTAAATTTTATAATTTTTTTAAAAAAATTTGAAACTATAAACCCAAAACTACACCCTTTAACTCTAAACCATAAGTGTAAATTAGTTAAATCAAAGGTATAAATGTATATTTACCATTTAGTAAAAAAATATTTTGGTCATTTTTTTTTTTTACGGTTATTTTGGTTAAAATAAAAAAAAATATTATGCCAGGGAATTTTTAAATGTTAATTGTACAAAACAATCCATAATTACACAAATAATATAACAACCACTAAAGAACAAAAAGTAAATACCAAACCGACCGGTTTGAGATATCAATTACAATTGATTTAGTGCTTAAACCGACCGGTTAACACCATCCGAATAACTACATCGTCACTGGAAAACCCTAACTCCCTTTGATATATATATTTCTCGAATCCAAAAATTCTCGACGGCTACACTTATCTTCTTCACAGAGATTCTCCTCAGGCATCTCCCTTCATCTCCATCGTCTCCACTAAGGTAAACTTACTTCTCCTCCATCTTCGCTCAATTTTGGATTAGATCGATTCGATTCGAACATTTCGTGTTAAAAACTGTATCGAATCGTTCAAATCTAAAATTTATATGTAATCTCGTTTGTATCGCTCCTCTCAGGTTTAAGAAGTTAGTTAGAAGAAGAAGAAGATGTCTCGTTTCTTCGCTCAGGGCGGTAGCGACAGCGAGGATGAGAGCGATATCGAGGAGGAGATCCAGGAGGTTCAAAACACCGACATCAACAACCGTTACCTCCAAGATAACAGCGACGACGACGACGACACCGATACCAAACGAATCATCAAGCCGACGAAGGACAAGCGTTTCGAGGAGATGACACACACGGTTGAGCAGATGAAGAACGCTATGAAGATCAACGACTGGGTCAGCCTCCAGGAGAATTTCGATAAAGTGAACAAACAGCTCGAGAAAGTCATGAGGATCACCGAGGCTGTTAAGCCTCCTGTTTTGTACATCAAGACGCTTGTGATGCTTGAGGATTTCTTGAACGAGGCTTTGGCTAATAAGGAGGCGAAGAAGAAGATGAGTCCTAGTAACTCCAAGGCGTTGAATGCGATGAGGCAGAAGTTGAAGAAGAATAATAAGAATTATGAGGAGGAGATTAGTAAGTATAGAGAGGCTCCTGAAGTTGAGGAGGAGGAGAAGGGAGAGGATGATGAGGAGGATGATGATGAGGAGGATGAGAGTGAGGATGAGGATGAGGATGGGAAAGAGGAGGGGAGTGATGATGAGGAGGTTGAGGAGAGTAGTGATACTCGTTGGGAGACTATGCTTAACAAGAAAGATAAGCAGATGGAGAAGCTGCTTAGTAAAGATCCTAAGGAGATTACTTGGGAATGGGTTAACCAGAAGTTTAAAGAGATTATGGCTGCTCGTGGGAGGAAAGGGACTGCTAGATTTGATTTAGTTGATCAGCTTACTCACTTGACTAAGATTGCGAAGACTCCTGCGCAGAAGCTTGAGATTTTGTTTAGCGTTATCTCTGCACAGTTTGATGTGAATCCGGGTCTTAGTGGACACATGCCTATCAAGGTCTGGAAGAAATGCGTTGTCAACATGCTTACCATACTTGACATTCTTGTTAAGTACAATAACATTGTTGTGGACGACTCGATTGAGCCTGATGAGAATGAGACTTCGAAGCCAGCGGATTATGATGGAACGATTCGTGTCTGGGGAAATTTGGTTGCGTTTATTGAGAGGATTGACACTGAGTTTTTCAAGAGTTTGCAGTCTATTGATCCTCACACACGTGAGTATGTTGAGAGACTGAGGGATGAGCCCATGTTCTTGGCTCTTGCTCAGAACATCCAGGACTACTTTGAGCGGATGGGTGATTACAAATCTGCTGCGAAGGTAGCTTTGAGACGAGTTGAGTCGATATACTACAAACCCCAGGAAGTTTATGAGGCTATGAGGAAACTGGCTGAGTTGGTTGAAGAAGATGAAGAAGCTGAGGATGCCGAAGAGGAAAGTGGACCTGTTTCTTCATTCATTGTTGTTCCAGAGGTTGTTCCTCGTAAGCCTACCTTCCCAGAGAGCGGCCGAGCAATGATGGATCTTCTTGTGTCCCTTATCTACAGAAATGGAGATGAGAGGACCAAGGCCCGTGCAATGCTTTGTGACATCTATCACCATGCTTTGATGGACAACTTTGGGACTGCTAGAGACTTGTTGCTAATGAGTCATCTCCAAGACAACATTCAGCACATGGACATCTCAACGCAGATTCTCTTTAACAGGACCATGGCTCAGCTTGGTCTTTGTGCCTTCCGTGTTGGAATGATCACTGAATCCCATAGCTGTCTCTCCGAGCTGTACTCTGGTCAGAGAGTGAGGGAGTTGCTTGCTCAAGGTGTCTCGCAAAGTCGATACCATGAGAAGACACCCGAACAGGTAACTTTTTTAGATCTTCTAATACAAATAGAATGTGGAAAATGAATTATTGTTTCATCATATAGTTCTGACTAGGGACACTATAAGTCTGACTAATCAGATTGAATATGAATCAGCTATTCAAATACATGAGCTGTTTGTATATATATTAAATTGCCGCTACATTTGTTCTTTTCAACCTTGATGCTTATGGTCATGCTGTTTGATTCGGTATATACTTAAATTTGATGTAAAAACTCTTTATATTAACAGGAAAGGCTGGAGAGGAGAAGACAAATGCCATACCACATGCACATAAACCTCGAGCTTCTGGAGGCTGTTCACCTCATCGGTGCCATGCTACTTGAAGTCCCAAACATGGCAGCTAACTCGCTTGAAGCCAGACGCAGAGTGATCAGCAAGAATTTCCGTCGTCTGCTTGAGATCAGCGAGAGGCAAGCATTCAACGCACCACCGGAGAATGTACGTGATCACGTCATGGCAGCCACCAGAGCCCTGACCAAAGGAGATTTCCAGACCGCGTTTGAAGTACTGAACTCTCTTGAAGTCTGGAGAATGCTCAAGAACCGTGACAGCATCCTCGAAATGGTCAAAGCTAGGATCAAAGAAGAGGCTCTGAGGACTTATCTCTTCACATACTCTAGCTCCTACGAGTCCCTAAGCCTTGAACAGCTGGCTAAGATGTTTGATGTCACTGAAGCACAGGTTCACAGCATTGTGAGCAAGATGATGATCAACGAAGAGCTTCACGCAAGCTGGGACCAACCAACACGATGCATTGTCTTCCATGAAGTGCAACACAGCAGATTACAGTCATTAGCTTTCCAGCTAACCGAGAAACTCTCGGTTTTGGCAGAGAGTAACGAAAGGGCGATGGAAGCAAGAACCGGTGGAGGTGGTCTTGATCTGAGCTCGAGGAGAAGAGACAACAACCAGGACTATGCAGCATCAGGTGGTGGTGGGAAATGGCAGGACAACAACATGAATTCTGGGTATGGAGGAAGACAAGGTAACAACAGATCTGGATATGGAGGAAGACCAGGACAGTCTAGAGACTGGTCGGGTCAGAACAGAGGAGGAGGATATGCAGCAAGAGCTGGCTCAGGTAACAGAGGTGGTGGTGGTATGCAAATGGATGGCTCAACCCGTATGGTGAGTCTTAACAGAGGTGTTCGTGCTTAAAGAAGTTGAGAAATCTTCAGACAGTGTTTGATCTTGGTCTCTTTTAAGACCTTTTTGTTATTTATATTTTTGTTTGTCGTCTGTTAAAGTTTGGATACTGTCTTTAATAAGTTGCTTCAGAACTTTAAATTACTTGTTCTCAGAACTTATTTCAGAGTTTTTTAAATTTCTTCTGTTATAAATTATCAGAAATTTTTGATAGATATTTTACAATCAACAATTCTATATAGTCTTAGTTTCAATAGTGGTAACAATACATTAATACAAGAACAATCATCATCATAACACATGGTCCAAAACAAACAACTAAAGAAGTCACACACCTAATGTTTTTAGTACAATACTATATATATATAAAGGAAAACTATGTGCAGAGTTCAACATTGTCTGCATTACCTATTTCAACCTACTACTAGCATGTGCTTCAGATAATAACCTGCGCGCATCTTCCATGCAAGGACGTTCAGACTGGTTACTTGTCATGCAGAGAAGTGCAACCTCAACAACTCTTTTAACTTCTTGTTCAAAACCATTTTCATTTTCTGCGTATACTTCTCGTAGAAGAACATCCTTAGCCTTGTTATGTATCAATCTACCTGCCTCCCTCAGCTTCCCATTTGTTAAGATCTCCAAAACAAGCTCCCCAAAGTTGTAAATGTCTTTTTCCTGCTCTACTCTTATTACATCATTCATCTGATCTGTGCATTTTAGAGAAGTTTAAATGTTAGGAAAGTAGTATAATTATGGTAAGAGTTTAAAAATGGTTAGTACCTGAAGAGACCATGCCTTTGTTCAAATGTAACATGTACTTGAACCCAAATTCACCTAAGCAAGGCTCCATGTTATTAGCATCATTGAATAAAACGTTACTAGACTTCACATCTCCATGTGGTATTGCAGGGTAACATTCATGGTGAAGGAAGCAAAGTCCCTTTGCAACTCCATTGATGATCCTCTTCTTAGTAACCCAATCTCTCTTCTTTGTCTTCATCTTCTCAGCTAGAGTTCCAGTATGCAAGTTGTTATCATACAACACATAGACAAGATGATTGTTGTAACAAAAACCAAGTAACCTAACTAGGTTCACATGTCTTGCATTCCCCATCTGAGTTAAAACCTTCAACATAACACCTTTCTTCTTTCCTTGAAGCTCTATTCTCCTCACTGTGACTGTGATTCCTGTTGGCAGAACTGCTTTACACACTGAGGATGATACTTGGGGAGGCTCTTCACTAAAGCTTCTCAAAACATCATCTGCTGTGAAATGAGGGAGTCCAGAGAAAGACACCATCTTCCATCGGCTTTGACTTCTGTGATGAACATAGTACAACCCTAAAGTTCCAGCTACTATTATTACAAAGGAAGCTAGACAAGCTAACAGAACAGACACAAGCTTCCTTGAGCTGTAAGCTGCACATGGTTTAAGAGGAAGTCCACACAAGTTTGCATTCCCTTCATATGCATCTTTCCCCATTGATCTAAGCACTTTGTCAGAAGGGATGGAACCAGTCAAGTCATTGTCTGATAAATCCAAGACTTTTAAGTGTGGAAGCTTTGCCAATGTCTCAGGAACCCCACCTGCAATGATATTTCCAGCTAAATCCATCTTGTAGAGAGAGTGACAAGAGGAAACAGATGGTGTTATAGTCCCTGATATGTTGTTGTTACTCAGTTCAATAACGGTGACGAATTTGCATGAATCAAACTCAGGGAGAGGTCCTGAGATACTGCAGGAGGAAGCAGAGAAGTTGCGAAGACGCGGCGGGGAAGACCAAATCTCCAGTGGAAGTTTGCCTCCTAACTCAGGGTTATGTGAGATATTGAAGTAGTCAAGTTTTGTAGCTTTGGAGATATCTTGAGGAAGGCCTCCGGTGAGTTTGTTTCTAGAGAGGTCTATGTAAGAGATATCAGGAAGCTGGCTAAAGGTGAAAGGGATCACACCTGAGAAGGCATTATCTTCAAGGCGGATACGAACAAGAGTTGAACAATTGTTGAGAGATGGAGATAAACTCCCAGTGAACTTGTTTGAGAAGAGCATGAGCTTGTAAAGAACACCTCTAGAGCAGATACCTTGTGGTATCTCACCTTGGAAACTGTTGGTTGAAACATCAACCCATCTAAGCTTAGAGTTCATCCCTAAACTCTTTGGAAGTGAACCAGAGAAGTAGTTGTTCCATATGAAAAGAGTATCCAATGAAGGAAGCTGAGCTATTACTTCAGGTAGAGTCCCACTCATCTCATTATACATAAGACTCAAGAGCTTAAGATTCTTCAACCCTGCAAAACTCTCAGGTATGGTCCCAGAGAGATGATTGTCTGAAAGATCTAAGTTAACAAGAGAAGTGATCTCCCCAAGCTCCCATGGGATCTCTCCAGAGAGATGGTTTCTAAAGAGGAACAATGACTCAAGCTTAGTCAAGTTACTGAAATGCCTTGGTAAGAAACCAGAGAGGTTAGCTCCAGCTATGTCCAGATACTTAAGCTCACTCATGTAACCTATCTGCCAAGGGATCACTCCTTGGTAAGAGTTGTAACCAATCTCCATGTGAATCACAGTCTTCAAATCACCAAGCTCTTTAGGTATGTTCCCACTAAGTAAGTTCCCACCTAAATGAAGAAACTCTAGGTTCTTGAAAGAACCGTATTGACTAGGGATCGAACCAGTGAAGTAACTTCCAGCAAGATTCAGTACCTTGAGATTCTCTAATAAAGGGAGATCGGTAGGTAACGACCCTGAGAAGCTGTTGCTCAAGGCGTCAAGGATGATGAGGTTCTTTAAAGAAGAGACACCGTTTGGGAAAGGGCCAGAGAAGTTGTTTAGGCTTATGTCAAGGCTTCTGAGGGTTGTGATGTTGAAGATCTCTGGTGGAAACTCTCCGGAGAAGGAGTTGTCACTGATGTTGAGTTCTAGGAGGTCTGTGAAGACGGAGAAGAGGGTGCCAGGGAAGTTTCCAGTGAGGGTTTTTGAGGAGAGGTTGATGGAGATGATGGAGGTGGAGTTTTGGTTGCATCTGATACCTGACCAAGAACAGGAGGGGAGTAGTTTGGTGTTGGAGTTGTTGTTGTTGTTGATGGACCAGTCTTGTAAGGTGTTGGAGTTGTTGTCGGTGAGGTGAGATTTTAAGGTGAGGAGAGAGTCTGTTTGAGGGTCAGCAACTGAAGTGAAGAAGAGGAGGAAGAGGTGGAAGTAAGCATAGAGTTTAGGGTGAGACTCCATTGAATGTTGGAAGAGAGAGAGAGAGAGAGAGAGATCTGTGAAGAAACAAAACAAGAAGATCACAGAAATGAAAAGAAGAATCTGACAGTGGAAGAAGAGAGACGAAAAGCAAGAAAAGTTTATAGGGAAGTGTGTTGCTTCTTTAGTGAAAAGCTTAGCCTCATTGATTGTTCAAAAGGTTAAATGTTTATTAGTTTATTAGATTCTTTCTTGTTTTTCTCCAAATCATTTGGTCAAAAGGTGAAATGTTTATTTACTAAATGTATCCGTTTGAACTTTGAAAATGTAATTTAGTGCCAAAATAAAATATAATTTTACTGCGGAAAATATTGTTCTCCAACTATAACACTGATTTTTATATCAAAAACAACTTTTTATTAATAAATTTTATCATTACTTACTATTTCAGTCTATAATAGTAAAATAATATATTTAATAAGCCTTTGTATATATAATATTTTATCAAAAAAATTTAATTTACTAATTTATATGTATTTTTATTTCTATTTATCATTATTTAGTTGTATATTTTTATTAATGAAGATAATAAATAATGTTTACTGTGAAGAATAGGATCAAAAAGTTTGGTGTGTTGCTTTATTAGCTTTACATTAAAATAATTTATGTGAAAAATTACACTAGAATAAAGTTTTTAGCTAAGTTGAAGATGGCCTAAAACACCACATAAAAAAACAAACACAGAGTCTATCCTGGAAGCACTGTTCTTCATGGTTCTGATTTTTGTACTAGTAGTCAATGACATGTCTTTGATAAGCACTTTTAATGTCCTTTGATTAGATGAGCATCCTGTGTGAAAAAAAAAAAGTCTCTTCTTCTGGTATAAGTACAAGAATAAAAGAATTTTTGTCATACACTGTCAATCAAGATGATACTTTCTCTATGCACATGTGTTAAGCAGAGGTGAATACTATTGGAATACATTAAGTTTTGTAAAATTGCACCTGGGACAATATGAACGTTGAAAGACCTTTATCAAAAGATGAGTCCACCATCCATTGATATGACAAGATCAAAGTGCAGTGTATTTTTACAAGAATAGCTACCAAAATTTGATTTCCGGCTCATAACATTTTGCAGTTGCTGAGTAATTAGATATCATAATCAGGTATATAAACGTTATGAAAGAAAGAAAGAAAGAAAGCAGCGTGCAAGTTGCTAAATAAAGCATCGCATATAACAGATTCGCCAAAACTTTTGTGGATCTTCCACTACTTATGGCCATCTCCTACTCTGCTCAAAAGTAATTTTCAACACAAGAGTCTACTCTTATAGCTTCTCATCATCCTTACAACTTAACAAAAGTGTGAAATTATACTCATTTCCAACAATATATAGTTTCTTTCTGGTGCAGACAAATAGATAATCCATGTTAAGACGAACCAAAATCCAAAGAGACAAAAAACAATATAACTGCTGTCACATGTCAAGATTGAAGCAAAATAGATTCTCAAACTCTTTGCAATCAACCGAATACATACTCCAAGATAAAAGATAAGATAAGAGAAGATGAAATGAGTACAGGTCTCCGGATGAAGATGTTATTAAGTTGTTGTGGAATTAGGCTGACATCATCATATCACTGAATGTTGATATCATGGAACGATGGCAAGACCGCAACCAAAGGCTCCCCATAACCTACAGAGTCTGTTTTGCAACATAAACCATGAGAAGTTTATTCTCTAAGTGAGAAGATTTTGAATACAGAGAATGTCTTTTTTTTTACCTCCATCATCTGAAAGAAGCTTGAGAACTTCCCCAGCTACATCAGACTGTTTCCATAAATAGCAAGATCAATTAGAGGACTCAAAATGTGATAGTTTCAAAGAAGAGATGGATACATTTAAGCTAATAGTATTACCGTCACTGGAAGTTCTTTTCCCAGCTGATATACGTATCCAATCACTTGGCCTTCCTTTATTACATCACCCTGCCAAGAAAAATCATTTGCTATCTTATTTGCATATTCTGTTTCCTGAGTTGAAAATAGATTCAGAGACGTTCTACCTCTTTACAGCTAGGACCTTGTTTCTTTCCTTTAACAGTTCTGCTTCTCTGAAACTTACCCACCTTTTTTACCAAAAGAAGAAACAACTGTCACTAAAAGGATATGAAAGTAATAACTTGAATTAGGAGGTGGATCTCTCATACTGAAGGTGATGTGACTAGAACATAGTTGTTGGATCCAGATGCCTCCAAAGCAGCCAGCTTCGATGATTTTCGGTATGCAGTGTTTAAAAATGGAGACACTTTTTCAGAGCCAGGTTTGGCTTTGGATGGGCTAGCAGCAGCAGAAGCAGAAGAAGCTGATTTGTTCATGGGTTCAGAAGGAATTGGTGGAGCTACAGATGGTGAAATATCAGCCACAGGAATGGGAGTTGCAGCCTGTCCAACTTTCCTCTTTAAGTTCATCTCAAAATCTCCAACCTGTAAGTGAAAGAAAGCATCAGAGGATTGATAAATAGTTGGAACCTATGATTACAAACATTAGCCACAATTCAAAACAAACTATAAACAGCTTGTTACTTGTAATAACATGAAGTGGTCGTCTTAGTAGTGTTAAAAGATAGGTTAAACAGTAATGGAATCAGAGAAGACTTGCCTTAAGTTTCAGCACAGCAACCTCAGTCTCATCACACATCTCGTGAACCAGTGCCTGTATCATAAGAGATTCATCTAACAACATATATGAATCCAAAGATGTATATAAAAAACATACACCATGTTCAACTCCTAGCAACATATATGGCTAAAAGAAACCTAAACATATACTACAAAATCTAAAAGAAAAGCAAAAGAACAAACCTCCACTTCTTTGGGGAAAGTTGTCCTTCGAACAGTACTCTTCCCGTTTGAAGCATCACATGATTCTACAAAAAATGAAAAGATTAAACAAATGTTATAGAATTTAAAAAAAAAAACATGTTCCTCACTGTATAGTATAACTCCAAAGATGAAAAAGGAGCAAAGAGTGGTGAAACTCACCATCAGTTTTGGTTGTTGTGGAAGATTTAGAGGACTCTGCACGCAACACAAGCGTGTACTTGATGTTCTTGTTGAACAAACTCAACCGTGGCACACAAGAGTTACCAGAAAGCGAGTGAACATTTATGGCTGATCCTAAAGTCTCTGTAAAAAGAAAAAAAACCACAGTTAAAAAGTCTAAAAACCACCTTCTAATTTGCAAAGCATCTAAAGATAAAACCAATGGAGACATCTCAGCGCTAGAATGTGTGATACAAAATCAGACATAACAGATCCGAAACAGACAGATCAGATCTATCATCATACACGAGACACACTAAGATAGAAACTGTTTTTTCTAGTTTTTTTTTTTTCATTATCCAAACGCAAGAAACCAAAATGAGAAAGAAAAAACAAGATGGTAAAGAGAGTGAGAGGAGACGCACGATGGAGAGATCCGAGAGCTGCAGAAGACTCCATTGGGAAGAACAAGGAAGCGAGCTAGTTAGAGAGAGCAGAAATGTTAAATAAGTGAGGTGGTTAGTTAAAATGCGAAGATAACGGTTGGTTTGGTTTGGTCACTTTAATTATTCAGCGACTTTCTTTGGTAACTCCGCCCGTTTGCAGCTCGGTCAATATTCTAGCTAACTTGCGCCTGCATCATAAGCGTACTCTAGTGTTATTCACATCCTTCAGTACTATTTACAAAACTGAAGTCACAATGTATTTACTCGAATGGTTTGCTTAGTAACTAATTTGCTTAGCCTTATAAGAACCTTCATATATCAAGTGGATCATGTGCCATAGATTCAACAACAATAATCTTTCAGTATATAAAACTAACCCTCAAGTCTTTAAACATTCAATCATCTGCAGATAATTGATTCACTCTTTTTGATACAAGACTCGTCTCATTCATTCTAAATAAGTTAAAAGTTAAGATACCAAAGAAGGAAACAAATGAAACAAAAATTCCAACGCATGTTTTTGATTCTTCTCACTTCCCTGTTTCAGTCTTCTTCCATTAAGCATGCTTCAGGCAGTCTAAAGCTTAAGCAAAACATCGCCTGCAACAAAACAGAAAAGTTCCAGCTCAGTAGCTACACATGATATACTTGAAAATTCATTCAAAAAGAAGAAGAAAACAGGACAATGGCGATCTTCTTACCTTGTTTGGAGCAACATCTCTGACTCTGTGGAACACCGGGTCTTGTATATGGAACTTCAGAGCAGTTTCAGCTACCTTAATCATATTACAAAAGCTCTACTTTAGAGACATGCAGAAAAAATGCTACCAGATACAATAACGAAGAAAGAAGAAGAGTGGAAGGTAGATTCTTACTGCAGTAATAGACTCTGTAGTTTCGCTTGCACGAATGAAACAGTAGCAATGAATTAACGGAAGAGGTCCTTTCCAATACTTGCGTTGAAGGACATTACTGAAAGAATCTGCAAAAACAAAAAACATTACAGAGCCAATATGACAGGAACACATACATGGTTTACTTTTTTACTTAATTAGTAAGAACAAGCCACACAAAAAAAAAAAAAATTAATATTCAAACAAGCCTTAATGCATGATGCATCTCCTGTTTTTGATGATCATAGTCCTAATTAACTTGCCGTTGTCACATGTCGATGTGGTTGATAAACTCTCTTATCACATAATTAGAACAGCTAATAATTTGTGTAGTGAATCAAGATCACTAGATTATAAACTACCAGTTTTGTTTATGTAAATGCCTTGACAGAACCTAGAAGAGACCATATTCACAAATTTTGAACCTTAAGAAAACTAGAAGCATTGGTACCATACCGAGAAACTCCAAGGCAGAAGCTGGAAGATTCATAATAACATGGTCGATATGTTCCCACGGCTTTGCGATTGGAAGCACCGTTTGCTTCAACCTCTTCTTTGCATTTCCTTCTATAGTCTTGCACTCTTTCCCTACCTCATTTTCTGCATTCAATTAAACAGCTCAATGATAATTCCCAATGCACTCTTAACTGTTAGAATGTCTTGGAGAAACGTTCTGAAACATTTCTTACCTATCTCTGAAACACCAGATGGCTTCTTATCTGCTTCCTTTGTTTTGTCATCAGCAACTGATTGCAAGTCACTCTCACCACTTGAAACATTCATCAACTGAGAAATGAATTTTCGAGCATCCATATTGTGCACACAGACCAACTCATCAACCTTATTGAACTGTGCATTGATCTTCAAGTACCGAACACTGTCTGGGTTTAGATCATTTGCATAAACAAAGCACCCTTTCTGTGCAGCTGGAATAGCAAAAGGTCCAATGCCAGCAAACATATCACACACTGTTTCTCCAGGTTTAAACAGAGATGTAAGACGCATGTGCTCATGCTCCAATCTCGAGTTCCAATAAACCAGGCTGTAGTCCAGCTTAAATCTTGCCCCATATTGTTTTACTTCTGTTTCCATCCCACTTTCTCCAGCTAACACTTCAAACTTTGGCACTCGAAACTCGTTGGAGATGGTCCCGACTTTATTAACAATTGTCTTGATCCTTGGATAATTTTTCTACAAAAATGTAAAAAGATCAACTAAATCATCACTGAGATATCAGAATACTGCTGTCATGGGAGGAACATCAAAAACTTACATCATAGATAACCTTTGCTATCACATCTTTGAAAGGAAGGAGCTCGTCATGTAGATTTAAGTGAGCTATATGACCTGCACATAGGAAACAAAGAGATGCTGGTTCTCATGAGAGAGGCAATCTTCATGATTTGGAGACTAAACGGAGATAACAAATGCACAAAAAAAAAAACTGCTAGCTCATCAAAACAGAGTTATCATATGCAAAGATAAAATAAACACTTAACTATGGTTTCAAAAGATGAAGGTATATCCACTCCATCTGGCAGAATCTGCTTCAATATGTGATCTGCGAGTTAAAGACAAATATCATAAGGTTTTATATAAACTAATAGGACAAGAACCTAAATAAACAAGCATCACCGTTAACAGAACCAAGAAACAGCTAGACCATTTATCAATAATCTATGAGGTTGATTCCCTCACATTCTATAGTAATAACCAGAACAACAAGGTATTAAAGTTGATGGTAAAAATAGTTACAAGGAAACGGTGACTAACTTCTCTCCAACACATATGCATAGAAACTCTACATTAAAGAGCTCAAGACAAGATTGTTTCACACAGAACATCAAGGCTAGCTTGCAGTTAAAAAAAAAAACAGCTCCAATAGGAAATTGATCCAAAATTCAAACACATAAGAACATTGCTAATGAATGTGTTATCTCACCTGCACTCCAATAAGAATAGCCAAGAGTAACAGAGTGAGGAACTACTTCAACTGCACTTAGTTTCTTGATCTGGTTCAGTTTTTCTTCAGGTAACTCCGACAAATCTGTCTTATAACAAACACAACTTGGTTAAATACTAATACTTCCGACACATTCTCCTAAAACACACATTCACAGATATTAAAGAACAAACAAACAAACTCTTACCAGCACTTTTAACACTTTCCGACAATATCACCAAACGTGTCTTTTCATAACCAGGTTCTTCAGTTATGGGCTTAATCCGAGGCATATTCAGCATATATCTAACAAAAAAAAAAAAAAAAAAGACTTCCTTTTTTTTAATCAATAAAGAAAGTTAATTAATTTATCTTAAGCGGATTCTAAATGAAGCTTAATTAGCGTAAAGATCGAAACTTTAGGAGAAAGGGGACGTACCCATTGAGTATTCGAGTTGCGCTTTTACAGAGTTCACGGGGGATCCTTAAAGCCCAGAGCTTGAGATTGACATCGAACTTGCTTTCATCCAACATGATGCTAACGGTGTCGTTTCGCTAGTATTCTCTGGTAGAAGAAGAGATGAAGAAGTCGGCGGAAGAAAAAGAACCAATTACCAGACCGGATGTGTGTTAGTAGAGCTGTCAAATGGGAAATCCATGTCCATTAGCCCATGTCCAATTATCATATTCATATGCGATAAAGCTGAACAGAAAAGGCGTACTTTAACTGCCTTTCCTTCGTTTTATAATTAGATTTTGTTTGTATTGAATGTGAATTTATTTATTTAATTTGAATCCAAGAATTCCAACTAATTAGTGGTTTGGTTCATGCTATGTGTTTTTTTAAGGACTAGGATTTAATGACTATGTGTTCATGCTATAGACATTTACACGTATCACAAACACCAACACGGTATAAACAAACTACTGAAGCAGCGAGAGAGAGATGCTTAAGCAGCAAAAGATTCATACAAAAGAATGAGTAGAGAGTTTGTAACCAGGGAAGAGAGCAGAGAGAGCAGAGATGCTTAACAAATGTTATGTTAAGAAAACCCATCTTGTAAATTCACCTGAGAGAGTGAGAGACGAAGATTGAGAGGAGCGGCGGAGATGGAAAGGAGAGGAGAGGAGAGAGATCGGACACGAGAGAGGCGAGAGATGAGAGAGTGACTTTTTTTTCCCCAAATCAAACCCTAAATTTTCTATCCCATTGGACAGCCCAAGTCCAAAAAGCCCGTAACCATTAAAGTCCAGATTTAATTGGTTTCCTAAATATGTCCAATTAAAATTTCGTGGTCAAAACAGGTTTGACCAAGTTGAGACCATTTATAAATGGACGTGGTTAACCATCGGACGTCCGGTCCATTTGACAGGTCTATGTGTTAGTGAAGCCGTGGCTGTTTCGTTCTTTTTAGGGTTTATATTAAAAATAAATAATAGAATTGATATGAACAAAAGGAACAGTTAAATACTGACTTCATAATTTTTTCATTTGATCTATTTCACTTTAAATGTATTTTTATGTTTTACACATATTAAGAATACACTTACTAATTATAAACACATAATTTTTATATTTCATTATTTTCTATTAGCTTAAACCGATAATATTTGAATATTTATAATTAACTCTTCAATTTTTTTACAAAATACCATTACTAGTTAACTACTATAAAAATCGAAGAATAATATTTTAAAAAATTTTGTATACATAATTATGTAAAATATAAGTGGTGTATTTCTTATTTGTGATGAGTTCATTTACATACTTCACAGTCTTTAGTTACAAGTTATTTTGTTTCTTTACTTTAAAAATCAATTTAATCATTATTTTTTATTAATTTGTGTGCAGCTAAATTATAATTTTTATATAATGATAAATATTAATATGTGTGACAACAACACATCAAACAAAAACGTGTAACAACGAATCATTAAAAAAAAATATTTAAGTTCTAGAATTTTGTTCATCCTTCATTGTAATAATATCTCTGGGTTTGCAAATAATTTAGTATATCAACTATACGACTATTAACTATAATATGTCTATAGTTAACTAATTGGTGCGCTTGAGGAATAGTCAAAGCCATACCCAACCGAAAAAGGATGTTATCAAAATGCTAAAAACCAAAAGAAAGTATCAAACCTCAGACTTGATGGTATTGTGTTTATGACGAGCGTTAGATCGGTTTTGACATTGATGATTGGTGTTGCGATTGTTTGTTTGCATGGTGCGTTTGTGGTTCCGATAATTTTTTTTATGGATGATCAGGAGCCTGCTAACGCAGGGTTGCTCTCGTTTTTTGGTGGTGGTGGTGCTGCCTCAGGGAGAGTTTAATATGGGGTTCAAAGAGGTGGATTTGATTCAGAAAATGATTCATAGTGGCATCTATTCATGATGTCAAAGGTCATTAAATCAGTATCTTTAGGGTTGATTATATTTTTTGCTTATTTGGTTTTCTATGGTTTGGTTTTAGAATCTTTCATGTTTTGTAGTTCAGTAACTGAAATAAGTTATGTGATTCATGCTTATTATAAGTTCGATTTCACAATATTGAGAATGTCGTTCTGGTCCTTTTGGATAGAGATAGAGAGATGTTCTTTCCATTTCTAGTTTGCAGGTAGTCGGCCGGTTACAGAGAATCGGTTACAGGGAAAGCAATGCGATACATTCATGTTACATTTCTTTGCGTTCAAGACCATCCTAAGGATAGACCCACAATTTCAACAGTGACCACCATCTCCAGGATAGACCCACAATTTCAAAAATTATTTATATGTTCAATAGTGACCACCATCTCCAGCATCCAAAACAGCCAATTTTCACAAATGCGTTCAACTACGACGAACGCTTAATGTCTCAGTATGCGTTCTCGATAAACAAAGTGACTCAGACAACAATGGAAGGACGATGAGCAATAAATTAAACCATGTCAACCCCAAAACACATATTAGTGATTAGTGATCATCTTATACATAACATGTCATTATGTGTGATTCAGGTAAACCTTATACATACACATTTGTTTTACATTTCGTAAATCTTGCTTATTGTTCTAAAACACTTATGATTAGAGGGGCCAAGTGTGTCACCATGCTTATGCAAAAAAATACTATTTATTTAGTATAATACATAAATAATAATTAATTGCAATATTCCTAAATCTACAATGTGTTGATTGGGCAAGGGTGAAAATAATCCCTCACTGCTATGAACTTTGTTGTAATTGATTAACATGAATTTGAGTGCAGTGAAAAAATTATGGCATGGACCTCATAAAGTTTGTGTGCTATTGCTTGTTACGTGGATAAGATGTTCTTTTTGATGCATTAACTGTTGGACTGTGGTTTGGTTGTGTTTGTGGTAGTGAATCAGCCTCCATAGGATACCGAGGTTGGTGACAAGTACATCATACACTACACTTATGGATGTGACTATGATATGAAGGTAAAGATTTAATAAATAAAAACTTGATTACTGAGATTGGCATTAGTCTCTAACTTAATCACGGTCATTATTTATTTCAGGATCAGTTAACCTATGAGAAGGTTGGGAATGGAGATTTGACAAAAGATCATATGATAACACACCACCACCAAGTGGTGTTTCACAGAGTGTGGTATGCATTTACATGTCATTTTCTTAAAATACTTTACATATCATTACAAACATAGCTCAGTTTCTTACATTGATGTATTGGCAGGTAACATTGGTGAAAATGGTGAATGAAGCCACTGCAAATATTCCAAACTGATGAGAATAGAGACTAGAAAGAAACAATTTATTATTGAATAGATATGTTATCTATTTGTTTACCATGTCTCTTCAGAAGGCGGTGTGTTACCTTTACAATATATATATATATATATATAGCTTCTTAAACAAAGCTTGTCTTGCGTTTTACATCTATAGTTTAGTACTCGTCTCTACTAGGTTTTGTTGTCTTGTTAGTACAATACCTCATAACATAAATACATGGAGCAGCATCCCACAATAAAAAAAAAGTGATACCGAAATAGACACCACCAGTCAATGTGGATAATAGTCAATGGATCTAATTCATGTTGGTCGAGTGGCCCGTGCTATGTATCCCAACAAAGATGTATGGTTTATAGTTACTGTGGTTCGTTTAGGTTCTGTAATGGGAAAACATCGCAAGTCTCTTGTGAATGCATTCCTCATTTTGAACGAGACAAGAGTTTGTTTTCCTCTTCAGAACATGTTGATAGAGTCATTATCTAGTCAGGATGTTGTATTTATCTTTGCAAAGTTTGATTATTCAAATATGTCATTGTCAAACGAGGACATGAATATTCAATCACAATTGCGTCTAGAGAATACATGAGCAGCAAAAAATTACAAAATCATAACCATTGTATTAGCCATTGTACTAACATCAGTACCTGCTGCTGCATTTCTTGTTGGTTCATGTTGTTGTTACTTTTCATCTCGGCACAGAACAAGAGCTCAAAAAGGTTTGAGAGTTTGTTTATTTTTGTATATTTATCTTGGTTTATTAATTATTACTGAAGTTGAAGCATGCATTATTGAAACAGAGGATGACGGGAGAAGAGATGTGTGATCTAAGTCTACATACAATAATAAGAGAAACTAATGGTTTCTCTGAGGATAACAAGATAGGAGAAGGTGGTTTTGGTCCAGTCTATAGGGTACCTAAACCAATATTCAAGTAAAACAATTTGATTATGTTTTATTTCCATGTAACAAGGCTTAGTACATAAAATCCCATTAGTGATTTAATGACAAAAGAATCTTGTAGTTTCCTCATGTGGTTATGGCTGGTTCTAGTCACAGCCGGATGTTTTATCATCTTGATCCCTAAATTTATAGAGTTATTAACTGCTGCTCATAAAAAAAAGAGGTAGTAACTTATTATACATAAATCCCATGGGTTTCAAACTTTCAATTGTAAAAAAAAATATATATATATATATATATTAAAATTATTCTTAAAACGTTATATAGTCTCCTAAATCTCAGATTCACTCTTGCATATGGTTGTAGTCGGTCAAGTTCACTGAGGACCATTTGCAAAAGAAAAGAAATATTTTTTTTGCTAAGTGATCTTGAAATGTTAGGCAAAGCTATCAAATGGAGTGGATGTGGCGATCAAAAGGCTTTCAAAAAGGTCAATCCAAGGTCTGAACGAGTTCAATAACGAAGTGGATTTTGTCAACAAGCTTCAACACAGGAACACGGAAACTCCTTACTTACGAGTACATGTCTAAAAAGAGCCTTGATGTTTTCTTCTCTGGCAATTTTGAGTGTGAAGTTATCAACCATAGTGTTATGATGGACCAGCTGCCTTTTTATGGGTCATACTCTCTAGTAGAGCCAAATGAAATTCACGACACTGTTATTTCTTTTTGTTTTGGTTTTGTAGATTCTAGTAAGAGTAGGGAGTTAAATTGGGAGAAACATATGAATATAATAAACGGGACAACAAGAGGACTTCAATATCTGCATGAAGACTCACATCTCATTAACGTAAATACCCTACATCCTCTGTAAT